TGCTAGTGAACCAAATGACTTCACACCGGCGACTTCACACACTCCAACGAGTCGACAAAAGCTCCACGTGGCCATCACAAATTCCGTGTGTCCAAACCACTGGATTGCAGGCACGCTTGTGCCACCGCACTTGGCAAATGTGTTCATGACCTTGTATAAGACACAACGTTTTCACGCTTCTGAAAAATGAATGCACAAAAATAAATGTTGGAAAGGGTTTTTTTTACATGCCAAAAATGCTAATGTGATGTAAACAAATACAATTTAATCCACCAGCTTATGGGCCAATTAATTTCAATGCGTACAATTAACATTTGTTTAAGAAAAGCAAGCTTGGAGCAGTTTTGACATATGAGACGTTTAGTGGTCCAAATGCGAATGCAATCATTTGTTCCCTTTCTGTATACAGATCGTTACAATACTGTGCTGAAAAGGCCGAAACTATTTTTGGCAGCATGCGGCCCAAATCACCCGCAATGTGCCCGGTTTCATCAGAACTCGAACCGCAGCAGGTTCAGCCTCATTAGCACTCGGGGTGTCTGAGCAAACCAAAAACCCCGTTGGTGTTCTGCACCGACGTGCACTGGCCAGGGTGGTGAAGCGCGGTTAACAATCCACAACCTGCAAATAATGGAGGAGCCCTCGTCCACCAGGTGATTGTTTGACATGAAGGTCGTAGATTTACTGTGCATGACCTTCTTCTGTGACAACTGTCGCGGACTTGATCGCAATTTTGCGAATACAAATTTTTAAAATAATATCAACATATTTCAACACATTCGGGTGCCCTTTTAAAACGTTGTTTTGCTTTTACTATTTCACGCACGAGAGGGTTACTTAACCTTGTGATATCCCTAATTTCTTACGGAATAAAACATTAAAAAGCACCTATTTGACGTCATGTATTGTTACCACTCAAATGTTGCTTTTGACAGAAAGCGCAACAGCACTAAGACAAATTAAATGTTTAAATTCTATATCGAGTTATGTTCTAGAATTGTTTTTCAAAACGTCTACATATATAACATGCATGCACGAACATCAAATTAGTTTACCATGGAACGAAACAATTCTTGAATACAATTAGACATGCAACAGGGAGAGCAGTCCTTATATAAACATTTTTGTATAAACATTCTATATAAACATTCAAGCGTGCTCGATTCTAGCCGCCCTGGCCCACTCATCCTGTCAAGTGAGAAGTTGTCACAAACAGGCTGGCGATGTTGTCATCTCACACACCGGAGTGACGTGTGAGTTAGCTAGCAATGCAGTGCACGTGTCCATTTGTCACGCAGCGACGCATGCGGATCTTAAGCCGTAATAAAGAGTTGGGTGTCGGGAATCGCTAACGGAAATTAAATTCGACATTTTGATGGGGGAGCTGCACAACCGCGTGCCTGAAATAAAAATGCATGCATCGGCAACAACAACAATAAAACAAACTGCATAGCGTCTGCTTTTGGCATCTCTAATAAGCAATGTGTCCCGACGCCTGTCATTGGCGATTCCAGCCATTTCCAAGCAACGCACGTGGCACGCAATGTCTACTACCCTTCTTCACTCACTCACCTTACAGTTCCACAAGCTCACATTATTCTACAACAGGGTTTTAACCCTTCACACGAACTCACGTGACCAGTATAATGTCATATCTCTGCCAGTTGCTCAGCACACTCTCACGTCTTCCAAGACTTGGGGGCGGTATGGCAGATTCGGACTAAATACCCTCCAGGGAGGCTGTCTAGAGCTCCCTCTAGTTGAGGCTGTTCTGCCAGCAGGGCTTCGAGCCAGCTATTGGCAGGGCTGCTGGTTTGGCCCTCAGCCTTTTATGCAAATTACATGTGCATACTCTCAAAACAATGCTTTTGTAGACATTCTTATGACACGAATCAAACGAGTCATGCGTCTGCACGTGCAAAGCATTGGCTGATGCCCTCTGGCAGGTGTCCGTGAGTAATTTTACGTAAACAGTTGAATGTATTTGCCGCAGCAGATCGACATAGCTTTTGAAAAAAAAATGCCAATTAGCCGATCATGGAGAAAATGAAGCAATTCCCAGGCAATCCGCGTTCCACTGCTGCTACTGTTACTGCAGGAGCAGCAGCAGCAGCCTCGCTCGGCATGGTGGGAGGATGGGGATGGGGTTGGTCAGTGGCGCCATTGTCGCGTCGTTCCAGCCAGCACCTCGACAAGACGCCACGACTGACGATACCGTGGAAGGGAAAGTGTGGGATCAATTCTAATTTTGGGAATGAATGGAGTTGACTCCAAACCTCAGGATCGATTCTCAATTATTGAATCGAAATTAAACAGTTTGTTTTATTAGTTAAAAATCCCTAATTTAATTAACCAGTTGTGATAAATTCCCCTTGTTGTTCAAAGAGACCCTCACGACTCAAGGAAGCAGTCAACGTGACTCTACAGTCTGGAGTGGAAGGAGATACAATTGTGTGAGGTTGTTTGTATTAAAATAATGATTGCATAAATTATGATAATTTATTGGTTAGGGAAAACAAGTTTAAATTATTACCATTTACTGGTTAGTTTTTTGTAATAAAGTAGCTATTTTTATATGAATTGTGATTATTTATTGGTTATTATTCTAATATTTTGTTATTTTTTCAAATACATGTATATGTAGGTACCCGAAATATTCTGTTTCTGTATGCACAGTAATTCGTTTTCATCAGTTAATTATTGAACTGTCCATGCTGTATTAATCCAAAAACAATGTCGTCTACAACAATACATTCTACAACAATGCATGCTATAATACTACACTGTGCATGCATTCTACAACAAAAGGATCATAGCCGGTTCTTTTTTGGAAGGTGGGTGGGGGGGGATTGAAATAAAAATTGATTCCATCTATTCATAAATCAATAATCGATTCTACGATCTACTCCAGAAACCTTGCAATCAGCCATCCATAGGCTGTGAATGGGGCCACGTTGCTTGGTGAGCCTGTGTGAGGGTCTGGACATTGCGTCCCTTATGAGTTCGAGAAGCTTCCATGCCAGGAGCCGCACAGAGCACACCACTGTGGTGGCAGCATAACAAAAAAATGAGGCTGCGAATCAAACACACACACACCTACCTCACACGCTACCCTGCCCTACAAAGATCATTCACGCGACAGAATAATGGACCCGATGCCGGCACGACACGTTCAACTTCTCTCTAGAATTGTTGACGATTCATCACGTTCAATACTTTGTCAGGGAATGCTTGGGCAGCATTGTTAACAAAAAGAAAAATACTTCACCATCGACTATAAATTCGGAGTACAATACACCCAGTGTTACTTAATATGAATGCATTAATGTATTTGTGAATGCAATGTATGGAATGTATAGTTAATTTGACCAAAGAATTTAAAGTAAAACATTGCTTGCTGCACAATACAAAATTCGTATTCTTAGGAGCAAAACATCGACAATAGATTTTTTCCCTCCATCTTGTGCCCCCACATTTAAAGATTATACACATTTAACTGTGGCACCCTCTACTTAACTGTGACAAGCAACAGTCGAGCATTTTCTTTAGACTCAGGAGAAAATATCTCCTTTCATCCTTGTCATCTTGAACCGTCAATTAACACTTGAACTAGTGCTGGTTTAAGCATGCCACAGAAGCCAATACCTGTACTGTGTACAACATTATAAAACAAAACATATTTCACTTCCACAATACTCAATATTAGAAACTACCCCAATCCTGAACCGAGTGAGGGCCATTTAAAAAGCTGTCAACCTCTATGGAATAAGAGAATGATACTTCAGCTTCACTTCCTATGCTTTTTCAAATTAAAGTAGGCTCAGAAACGATCAAGACACCATCACAGCCATTGCAACGTCATGATTTAGTGGCTGATAGCACGTTGAGCGATGACCTCCCTGCCTCTAAAGTTAGACACGTTTGCCTAGAGCGAAGCTCCTCTGTTGGTCCTGCTATGATTACCCATGATCCCACTCTCCTGCTGTTAAGTCCGTTGGCCCTTCGGAGACCCCTCTGCCTTTTAGTAGTTTTACTGCGCTATGGGTCTCACCAACCTAGACCATTTTCACATTACACTCATCCATGCCTTTAACCCAGTCCCATGACGAGGATTGGGAGGTTGTACCTTGTTTTGCCCTTCAAATTGAATTGGCAATTGTGCTGTCGGCGTCACGTCATGAGCCAAAGAAGGCTTTCGGAAACTCTTGCAAAAGCAGATTAATTTCTGTCTCACAGGACTTTGTCCGAAATCTATTCACTTTGCACAATCGTGGAGGGCACACTTTTACACACGCTCTGCCGACATAGAGATGTGCATTGCATCACAGGGCTGGAATGTATCCCAAGTTAGGTGAAAAGTCCAGTTGAATGTGACGGGTTTGTGAAGGCATTGTCTACCGGCTGGGACTGTGAACTCGCTCAGGGGTGGTTGAAACGTGGATGTGAACACGGGTCTCTGGAGTGCGGGGCCAGTTTCCTCACCCCTGAGCTACCGTCCCTTTCCAAATGATTGGCATTTTGGACAGAACTGGAGAATTCCAATAAAAAAATGCACATACAGAGGGAAAGAGATGATACCCTCGTTTAACAAAAGGGAACATGCGAATGCTATAAAGTGGAATATTTGTTTATACAGTACGTTCATTTTATACCACAGATATATTGAAATCATGCTTATTGTCGTGTTATATTTTGTATCATATACATGTGACGATCTTTGCATTTCAGGGGGTTTTGTACGATATTTTAATTACTTATCCAATTTTTTTTACCGGCATTCAGCTCACGTGCGTAAATATAACTTTCAATGGAATCTCACCTGTGAAGATGAACCTTACTGACTGTAAATTAAAGCAAAACTAACAGTTAATAAGCTCGTCTTGTGCAATGTGTGCACATCATTCCGCAGGGTTACCGTGTGGCTGATGCACGAAATAAGTACACTCATACACGACGCCCACCGGGGTGTAAGCCGTTTGCAACTTTTGCTCACAACTCACCCGCTGACGAACGAGGGTGACAGCTCTTGAATCCTGCAAAAAATATACAAATCCAATTAGCATCTCAATCAGATTCCACCCAGATTCTCGTCCCAGGAAAAATGCATTCGACATGGAAAATTCGTCAAAATTATGGTCCCTAAAACTGCAACATAATGTCATTCTACTTCAATAATCATACGTAATGCATAACAAAAACTCAACTAATTCATCAATAACATTGCCTTGATCGGGTAAAAAAAGCAGACGCTAGACTTGTGAGGAAATGGCAGCCGGAGTGTTGGGTGGCCTTCATCCTGCAGTGGAAAGTCACTCACTGATGACGGTGATGAATTATGTACATATAGTGCAATGTCAAAAACCCTTTCCATGAGGGTTGTTTGACCATACTTCACCCTGCTGGTTAGTGTGAGTTGGTGAAGGGGGGGGGGGGCCCAGCGTTGGTAAAGATATCACTTGCCACTAGTGACAGTATTATCCGTGGCCTGCGATAACCGGGTTCATAGTGCAGTGCGCTTATCGCAGCACCATGGCAACACCCACAAATGATCCTCATGGCGGTACCCCGGGAACCAAACAATACAAAATGGCCGAGACAATTAAATATTGTATTTCTGGGACACTATTTTTTCCAGGGGTGTACTTCACTCTGCGACTGGGGTACCAATCAATCCGAAATCGGTGCTACGTCGCGATGTCGAAACGCAGCGAGGACGATTGCGCTGAAACCCCGAACGCTCGCGGTACGCACCGTAGTGGTGGTGCATCGTGAGTACAGCTCGTCGAGAAGAGTCGATTGCCGCATCGCCGACCATCGACCGACTAGCAATGACTGCATCACGGACATTGTGCCAGAGTCGGGGTACTATGGAACCCCGGGGTGCCGCCATGAGGTTCATATAACGTACCTGCATGGAAAAGCTTACACATATCTGCCACTTATTCACTGGAAAGACGACTGCAGTCTTTTCATTCGTAACACTAACGAGCGCACCGGCGTGATGAAAGAGAAAACATCTAACACTGCTTTTGGCACTGAGGCGCAGCAAATTCCTATAAAACCGAGAGTTTATTTGGCATTTGGGTTTCCCTCCTATCTGTCAGCCTGCCACACACAGGTGTGGAAGTGACATTGGGCATTTTAACGCTTGGCTAAATTGAGATGGTAATTACTCCAAACTCCAGAGACCATGGGAATCACCGTAGCAGTCAGCCTGACCTCCATCACCCAAAATCCAATCAGGCCCCGCGTTACGGGGCAAGGCTATCATCAGCACTGCCTCAGGCTACTAATTATAATTCTGTGTGCAGCTGTGTGAAACACAGACGGATAACAAATAATTATCATGCTCTTGTTGCCAAAGGAACTCATCATGCACACAACGATGTATTCCGGGGCTCAGTGTCACTCGTCTGTCAACTCGTGCTCTCCCTCGAGCATGTAACTAATTACGTGCTGAGGAATACACTTTATAGACGTAAGCACAGGGTAATCAATACATTACACCATGGTTGCAATTAGTTTTGCCTAATAACTTAAAACTGAGCAATAAAATGTTTGGGCAATGGTCCTTGTTTGGAGCCATTGAGAATAGTGGCGAATGGAAGACTGGTTTATAGTGTCAGTTTAATTGTACAATATGTAACGTCTTGAAATGTCTTGGACATGTGGAGAGTCGTTGTAGGAACCACTTCCAATCGATGGTACTTTGCTGGTTTAGGTTTATATGATGGCGCAACCCGGCAGTAGAACATTCACTGTTTGTTTGTTGCAGATGTTCGGGGTACAAATCCGAGAGGCTCCTCTGATTAATGATTTCTGCCGGTGTATTACCTGGACAATATGCACCGTCTGCCCTACAGTGGGTGTTAAAGATCCCGTGATGTCATTTAAAAAGAGGTGGCCATTGTGTGCTGGAGTTATAGTGGAAATTATACAATTTACCTGCGAATTACTCAATTGAGAGCACACACAGCAACATCGCCACCGAAAGTGAGACTCCGACAGACCGTGTCTGGGAAACACAGGGCCTTCGTGAAAGCGTTGAGCTATCATAACAAAAGTGCCAATACCATTAAAAAAATAATAATAATTATTACTATTTTGAATCACTCAAACAACATAACGGAATGTATTGATAATGCAAAAAAATGTAGATGCATTATGCCCACAAAGTGTTATCAGATCACTCACGTAACTCAGGGCTCACTTGGGTCAAACAATTCAACTGGATTTCAACATCTACTCCAGAAGAAATATGTCCAATTTTCACTCGAAATAATCTATTGCACGGACGCAAAACTCATAACCTAGGCGAACATAACTATATTGTCACATCCCTCCTTGCATCACGCACTGGGTGACGGATGAGAGCAGGAGGGGTGCCGTCATTAACAAAGGTGGTGCGTGTATTAATCAGAGATTGGTGCATGAATCAGAAATCAGAGCATGAATCAAACATCGTGCATGAATCAGACATTGGTGCATGAATCGGACATTGGTGCATGAATCAGATATCGTGCATGAATCAAACATCGATGCATGAATCAGACATCGTGCATTAATCAGACATCGTGCATGAATCAGAGATTGGTGCATGAATCAGACATCGTGCATGAATCAGACATCGTGCATGAATCAAACATCGATGCATGAATCAGACATCGTGCATGAATCAGACATCGTGCATGAATCAGACATCGTGCATGAATCAGACATCGTGCATGAATCAAACATCGATGCATGAATCAGACATCGTGCATGAATCAAACATCGATGCATGAATCAGACATCGTGCATGAATCAGACATCGTGCATGAATCAAACATCGATGCATGAATCAGACATCGTGCATGAATCAAACATCGATGCATGAATCAGACATCGTGCATGAATCAGACATCGTGCATGAATCAAACATCGATGCATGAATCAGACATCGTGCATGAATCAGACATCGTGCATGAATCAAACATCGATGCATGAATCAAACATCGTGCATGAATCAGACATCGTGCATGAATCAAACATCGATGCATGAATCAGACATCGTGCATGAATCAAACATCGATGCATGAATCAGACATCGTGCATGAATCAAACATCGATGCATGAATCAGACATCGTGCATGAATCAAACATCGATGCATGAATCAGACATCGTGCATGAATCAGACATCGTGCATGAATCAGACATCGTGCATGAATCAGAAATCAGAGCATGAATCAGACATCGTGCATGAATCAAACATCGATGCATGAATCAGACATCGTGCATGAATCAAACATCGATGCATGAATCAGACATCGTGCATTAATCAGACATCGTGCATGAATCAAACATCGTGCATGAATCAGAGATTGGTGCATGAATCAGAGATCGTGCATGAATCAGACATTGGTGCATGAATCGGAAATTGGTGCATGAATCAGAGAGCAGTGCATGAATCAGAGATCGATGCATGATGTCCTTGCAGTCTGCAGTTTAAAGGGTTTGATATGCACAGTAGAGGGAGAAGAACTGACAAGATAATATAAATGGCTTGTCAAAGATGCAAAAGAGAGTGAATTATGTTGGTGACCCCATTACAATAGATGAGGCAACGTGCGAATGCATCAAAAACGTACACAAATATTATTGAACTCCTACATTAGGCACAACTTACAACTCGAACACTTGAGTATCATTGATAATTAAAAGCAATAGCAGTTGGTACTATGTCCCCAGCCATAAACGATCTGCAATCCCTGAAGTGATGTTTCCACTTCCTTTGGACAATTTCACTCTTGTGCAATAACGAATGTTCGTTCTGCTAAAACATTGACGGATGGTATTATTTATACCAAGAATAGTTTCTCAAATACAATTTTAATAATGAATGTAACTCTTGCTCATAGCATAGATGTATTCATGAGACCTCTATTTATGGAGCTTTGTTACTGAGGAACCAAACCCGTTCGCTCTCAAACATAAATACGCCTTCAATGTAACTTCAACGTATCGTCACAAGAAAGTGACCGCTGCCAAGATGTCTCCCATGCCATGCAAGAGTAAACAACATTTCAAACGTCGTCAAGTCATTTACAAGATATTCTTGCAGATAAACACTCGTGTGCCAAGTAAGACGAAAGCAGCTCACGGATAGGCACATTGGCTTACGCTGCCAGTGTACACGGCAAGATGTGCTTGTACTGCCATAACACAAGATACTCTCCGATATTTACTCGATGCATTTTAGCACTAACGTTTCATATTAAATGTTTTTTTAATCCAATATTCTCTATTAAATGTACTCGTTCATGAAAAATGTCTCATCCAAATCTACCACAGTGACTCTCGCACAGAATTGTGATCTAAAGACAGGCTGCTTCAAAGCAACTCACGAAAGAACCAAGAATATGAATCACTGTTAGCATCTGCGACCCTGGTGTGGTACCGATATAGTTAGGGTCAGTGGCACAGGGACTATGACGGAGAGGTTTTTTTTCACATGCAAAGATGTCTGTACAATCCACCAAAACTGCACATCCCAACTGCCGCATTTGAGGCATGCTCAATCACCCCTCGGATTAATATACTTCGAAAACTTTTCTGAGTTGTGTTTTGTTCAGCCATTGGCAAGAAGGACTGCGACCATGAAGCTCAAGGCACTCACGAGAACTCGTGTTAGAGGACATTAGTCGCCTGCTCACGCCTTCAATGCAAGGACCTCAGCAGTGCCAGTTCAGCGCTCCGAGACGGCTGCTCTCTCTCAGGGGCATCATTCACCTGGGCGAGCAACCACATCCAATGGATTTCAGCTTTTAATGCCTGTTCGGTTACGTAACGGTGCTGGAGTCGCATAGCAAAGTGCGATTTTCAAAAAGTAGAAATGTTAAAAAGTGAAAGTGTTCCCAAGTCCGTGTGAATGTTGGGTGCCTCTCATCTCGTTCGGGACTCCCGTACTGTACCAGTGGTGGAAACTCCACAATCCTATGCCGACTGATTCTGAACAGTCTAGCATAACATTTGTAAAACATCTTGATACTAAGA